ACGACGGCTCTCACTTCCAAACAAAAACCTCTTTGCTGTTTCCATATTTAAACAATATATATCTTACAAGCACATACAGACAACAACAGATCACATCATCGACTTCTTTTCTTAATACTCATACAAGACAAAAACTCGAGTCAGCACACAACCCCACAAAACTTTAACTACCTCCGTAACCCCTACAGAACGACCGACCCCATAAGGCGATTTCCTGCCAAACATCACCTTTAAAATACACCCATGTTGTTTCCCAGCCACTTAACCTGCCTCTCATCTAAGCACTCACCTGCGAAAAAAAGCTCTACAAAATCAAGAACCACAATCCCTTTCTTCCCTCCACTAATCCCAACCCCTTTGCTCCCCACATCTACTGCTCAGACTAAACTCATTTGCTAAAAATTAGTTTTAACAAGCAACTCACTGCAGGAGACCACAGATGGGCATAGTGCGGACCATGTCAAACACACGAAACCCCAGGTGATTTCGTTTACGGTTAGCAAGCAAATTAACATTTACCCACGCTACGTGCCACCACCCTCAACTTATCCTTGCCAAAGCCCAATCTACTGAAAGCTTAGAAGAGGATGAATACCCTGTTTCTCCTGAAAGAGATGAGCGAGTGTGGTGACCTTGCCACTGCAAATATACAGTTAAGACACAGTTTGTTATCTAATCTAAACTCCTTCATTTCATGACTGCCAGTGAAAACAATGATGCAACAGTGTTACATGTGAAACTACAATGAATTAATAATACCAAGTGAAAACAACAATATAAACACCTCAAGAACACAAAAGTAAAAGAAATGGTACTATTCCTACGTTGCAAACCAACACACTACGTAAGAATTCCCACAATTTGTACAATGAACAAATGCAACGATGACTAATACTCGGAAAGACAATTTAACAAATTTTAATAATTTCCATTATAAATTCGTAGTGGGACGGCTCATTATTAGTTATGACTTCTGTAGAATTATTCGAAGGCAAGACTATAGAAGGTAAACAACAGTAAAATGATAAACAAATGAGACTTTACGGACTAAACTTTCATGAGAGGTCGGAGACAGAGACTCACAAACTAATACATCACATAAAAAACCATGAATTCCGTAGGAATCAATCTCACGTAAAACCAGAGAAGGGAAAAAGAGTGAAAAATTTATAGAGATCTTATGCAACAAAGCCTTTATTTCATAACACTTCTCGCTACTTGAGCAGAACAACAACGGTTAAATAATCCCACATCATAGAAAAAAAGTCAGCGATTAAAACAACGAGCAAAAAACACCTACTTCCGCTAAAACCAAGCAAACCTTGAAGGTTCATCGGGCTCTAAACAATAAATAAATTTGAAACTTGTGTCAAAGAATGCAATGGACTGGCTCTCGTCCAAAGCGCAACCCAAATAAAGTGTGAAAGTAAAAAAAACAAAAAACAAAAAATAAAAAATAAAATAAAATAAAACAGACGTGACTATGTACAACAAAATTGGCTATTCAACTTCAATAAGAATTCAGAAAATAAGATAACAAGAAATAGTACGTTAAAAAAAAGAAAAAAAAAGACAACGAGAACGTAAAACAATCATGAGAACACTAAATTTAAAATATTTTACCGAAGTTACTGTAAGTGAGCAAATATAATTCATTCTAAAGCAGTCGAGTTTCAGCGTAAATAGGGTTATGTAACATCGTAAACCTAACACCCGACTTATTCCGTAACAGTTAACTTTCAAACGGGACACCGAAATGGGGATACCAGGAGAGAACTCACCGCGTAAAAAAGCATCATTGCTCACTAAGGCCACAAATTTTCCACCGCTTTGAACCAGAACTCTGAAAAAAATAAACATATTGGAAGTAAAGAAGAAATGACGTGACCTTTATCCTAAAAAAAGACCGAATGTATTTTAGTTTCCATTAAAACACGGAAAATAGAATTCTGACGGTAAGAGAGACAGACACACGCTATTTCACATTGCAAACTAATAACTTAAAAAAAATTTCAATACGACTACACCTCTCACAGTTCACTTGCAGTAAAAACCCTTAAAAAAAAACAGTTCAGGACAAAAAAGTTGACTGTACGAACCGAATCAGCAGGAGCACATACATTATTCACCTCATCAGGTACTTCCGCAATGCCATTGTTCCTTACAGCCTCAAACCCCAATTTCTTCAAACCACTTTCACCTCCAAAACGATCACCCAATGATCTCTTCAATAAAACCCTTTCAGCGCTGCTGGTACTTCCAGGCTGAGTTAAAATAGTAGCATCGATGTCCGACAAAGGTAACTGCATCGCAGATTGACGATCGCCAGTGGCAGCTGCTAAAAAAGAAATGGCAATTCCTAAAGTCTACTTTCCACTACGAAAAAGCTTTGCTTGCTCAAAAATAATAACTTCACTTAAATACAATGAAACTTAAACATAAAAATGAAGCATCAGATCTACAAATACAACCAAGAAAGATTACCATCCAGATTCGGCGTCGACTTACTGTACGGCATCACAGACTTCTGCAAACAAATGCGAAGTTCAACACCATAAAATCATAGACCGATTTATTAACAAATAAAGATTACATCAAGCATTACCTTCTGTGAACTGGATATCTCAGGACTTCCTCCAGAAATAATAGCAGTCACGGATGGCTTTTTGACAGCTACAGACGTGTTACCATTGGTAGTAGAAGACACACCAGTCGAACTTGCACCTTTAAGAACCATTACAACTCAACGTTATCACATTTGTATTAACAAATGACTGAAATTACGAAATAAGCAAAACCAACCATCCAAATTTCGAGAAGAAGAAGCAGTCACTGTAAACGCTGCCGAGTTTGGCAAAGCCGAAGTACTACTAGAAACACTTGCATCAGATAAGGACGAAGAAACTACTTCCTGAAAACTTTACTATTATAGCCTCTGGCAGAAAACTTATTCAGTAATGTAAATGTTATTAAGAAGTACAAAAATTTAAACGGTGACAACACGCGTTTACCGATACAGATGGTGAATTCTGCCTTTCTGTCTTTCGCTTCTTGGCAGACAAGCCAGATTTAGAATTGCCAGACCTTCTTCCCAACTTAACGGACGATGAAACACCAGCGTTTCGTTTCTTTTTAAAAGCCGCTCTACCTCTTTCCAGTTCAGCTTTCGGTAACCAGTTGTGCAAGTCAGAATGGCGAGCGTATGACGGCACAACCTTTACAGATTTAATGAGAATCCAAAACAATTTTTTTTTTTTTGATCAAAAGGTATTTATTACTCACTTGCATTCCTTCCACATACAAATCCTGAAAACGAGCAGCACCTAAAACTGCATCACTGAACTGTTGCAATTCACCAGTCAGATCAATATTTTTCTTTAATTCTTTGTTTAAATCCATTCCAATAAACCACAATTGACAACAGGACCCCCTAAACCAAAAAGAATTAATAAATATATGTAACAACAGTGCCAGGATTTGAAAAACGAATCAAGTTAATTGGTCAGAAAATCGGACTTACTCTAAATCAATTTCAACAGGCAAGGGCTGTAGAGGAGTATAATGTTTTGGGTCCACATGGCAGAGAGTAACACACGGATTACGCTCCAAACTTCCTACTAGGTGCCTAATCTTAGACTCAACCAATCCACTCCAAACAAGCTGGTCATTCTAAACTCTTATTTAAATAACAAAAAAAAGTAACTTGCTTTACGA